TGGTTGTGTCCTCACCCCCATCTGGCAACTGCTCAATCTATAATTAAACATTTCCACCTGTGGCTGTGACAAAACTCAGAGCAATAAACAGGCTTCCTTAAAGGCGGCGGTGCATGTGCAGACGTGTTTTCTGCTGAGATTATTTCATTGTGGCGTGTGTCCCAGCAGTGTTTCCTGAGAAATTCAAACTTTGTAGTAAATTTAGTGTGTTTTTTTTTTTTTTTCAAAATGCATATTGCATGGCTCAAATGGAAGGAGGGTGAACTCTTTCCCAGGGCTGCTGCCATACTGCTCATCGCTGACGTAGGAGAGGGGGGTCTGTGGTCGCTCCTGTTGGCGTGGAGGAAAAAACAGTCATTGTAATTCCTGTCTCAGGGTGCTTCTGCAGGTTAGGGGAATCTAACAAACTCTTGGTGATGGTACGGTGTCAGTCCTTACAGAAAGGGAAGTGAGACTGAAGGGTTGTCACTGACTTAGTGCCCTCTAACATCACTGGTACAGCAATTACAGACCCTGGGGAAAGGCAGAGAGAAGTCGTGGGAAGTGGCCGGGCTCAGGGGCTTTCTCTCAGTGGAATCTCCTGTTGCTACTTTCAGAGACACAATGTCAGGCTACACAGGAGCATTGAGCTCACCCAATAAAGCAGTCCTTATGCAATAGTAAGGCCTGGATTGCATTTAATTACAATTTCTAATAAAGGTGGGGCCCTAAGTGATCATCTGAGCTCTTCTGCTCCTTAACATCTCTCTGTTGGGAAACGGGGTGTTGATACATCGTCTGGGCTTTAACATTTTTCTTTCCTTGTGAATGGAAGTGCTTTGAGCTGTTGTGCTCATGGGAACGTGGGGTGACTGCTGCTGGTTACAGGGCGTCTCTGCTTGTATGGTCAGTGCAAAGGAAGGTGACAGAAAGAATGGTCTGCAGTCGTGTTGTAGCTGAGCACACGGGGTTGGCGGTTTCTCATTGCAATCTGATGGCATAAAGTTCCAAAGATTGACTGTTATCTGCACCTCTCCTCCCCAGGGAAGCCTGGACTGTATGAACAGACATCCAAAGTAGGACTGAAATTCACAGTCCTGAGGTGCCCACGGTTTTTTGTCTTACTACTTTGTAATGCACATTTGAGATTTCATCCTGTGATTCCTTAATTCTCATGATGATTGTGGTTGATGTGGTGAGCACTTGTATGTTACTGGGACTGGAGACATGATGAACCAATCTGGAAATCACTGGTTTTCCGTTGTGTGGGTAGATATGCTGCATGTTATCTCTTATCAATATGAGCTAAGTATTTTCACAAATATCATTGGCAAGTAGGTAAATATTTGGGGGAATGCTAACCTCCTTTCTAGAAGAACGATGATACAGTTTGAAGAGTTACTGTTTTAGGGAAGAGCGTGATTGGACCAAATAAGGGAAGACAGGAGTTTAGTGCAGGTCCTTAGACAGATATATTAGGTGTCCATTTTTCCTTTTCCTTTGAAGTTTAGGATTGAAAACCTGCCATCACTCCAAAGCAGAAACAACTTGGGTGGCCTTTTTATCACTAATAGGCAGAGTAACTAGGCAGGACTGTGACTCTGCTGAAAAGAGGCTCTGTCATACAAGGGGTTTTCCAGGTCAAGATGAAAAGCAAAATATCTCTCATCACATGAGCCTTTGTACTGCGCCCATATTTTCTAAATGCTTTTGGCTTATCTTTAATGTTTATGCTGCTATCAAAAATAAACCCTGCTTCCATCTCTGCGGGTGTTGTATTTAACATCAACAGTGAATAGGCTTTTTCATTCCTAAATGCTAATTTTCTTTCTGTTTTCAATCTGTTTCTGGTACAAAAAGTTTTTGTTTTCAGTGGTGTGGGTTTTTTCTCTTTGTTTTTTTTTTTTTTTTAAACTGCATGCTTTCTCCTTCCTATATCTGTTTTTGTCTATGGCGAGCTGTATTTTTTTGATGGAAGCAATAGTTGAGTGTATTGATGACCCTGAAGCCTAGAAACTGAATCGGAGTTTGTCTGAGCACAGCTGACAGTACAGTCATAATAATTTTAAAAAGCTTTACCAAGATTCATTAGCAGAAAGTGGAAAACTCTTAGGAATAATAGTACTTGTTACATAGAAGTAGAATGCTTTGAACTGCGGTCAGAAATTGGGTCTAAAAATCTTGGTATGATGAGAAATTTGGTTATAATGAAGTAGTTTTATAACTTCATTTAAAATGTTGAGACTACAGCCAGAATTCAACGGTGTTTGGAAAATATTCATGAGCTGTATCCTTGGGATAAAAAGCTGACCTTGTTGAAGCTGGTGTGAGTGTTTCCTGAAGGTACTGGTACCCAAACCCACGGGGTCAGAGCAGTCTGTAGTTCTGACTTCTGTTCATCTCGAAGAAGTTGAAGTTCTAGAGCAGACAGATACGGTCCAGCACACAGAAACCTACATCTGACAAACGGGTGTTGGCACCTCCCTCTCCCAGAGTCTCCGCAGAAGCCTTACTCCTTGCAGTCTGTTTTCTCTCTCCCGTGATACCCCGCTGTGTTCCTTCCATCCCATAAACCAGAAGTAGCAATATTTGAGACTCTTTACTCCACATACCCAGTGCGCTGCTGCTTAACTCACTGCTAGTGTCTTATAAACTGATAAACGGGAAACATCTGCAACAGGTACAGGTCCTGGTCCATAATGCACACATCTTCTCATGTTTAGTGTAACACATCTGTGAGTGTAGAAATGCCCTGATCTGTCTGTTGTCTTTGCCTTAAATTTGAAAGTTCCCTTTGAATTTTTGATCTAAATTCACTTGCATTAGGAATGGGAAGTTGAATGCTGTTGATGTATCTTGTTGGCTTTTGTTTGGGTTTTTGTTGGCTTTTTTTTTTTTAATTAACCCACAGGTTAATGCAGGTATGTATTGTTATCCTCCATTGCTTTCCTGTTACAGATGCTCTTCAGCTCTTCTGCCTCTTATGCTTTGATGTGCAACCTTTCTATCATTTAACTCAACAAAGAAATGTAAAAATTCTACTAAATGCAGGTGTTCATGGAGCTATGACTCTCTATTTATCCCACTTGCTATTTGATGACCTAAATGATTTCAGCTCCTCTAATTACTTATTTAAGGACTATTGATCTCTCAGGTTTCTTCTGGGAGGCCTTACGGAATAGTATATCACACAGATAGCATTATAGTTGCCTGCAAATTAAGGCAAGCAGACAGACTGTTGTAACATTGTAGTAGCCAGGCAGGTGACTTATTTTAGGCTTATTTTAGTTCTATGTGAAAAATATATGTACTGATTTAAATACTAAAGAGCTGGAGTTGTCGCAGCACTGAGAACACAGCTGTATGTCGCTTGGCGATTGGATCTTCCTAGTGGAAAGCCCCACAATTATGTTTTAAAGACATTGAGCAGGTAAAGCCCTTTCCTGGGAACCACAGAGGTCTGAGACACTGCCTTCAGCTTCCCCTTCCTGGAGTGCTGGGTGGTGGCAGCGGAGAGAGAACAAGACTCTGAGATTTAGTAGATACAGAAGTGTTGCAGCGTTGGGAATTAACATGTGATCATCGTCATTCACTGTGTTTCCTGATAGCTTTTTCAGGATAGTATTCAAAATGCTCATATTTAAAATTAAGAAAACCTAATATATATGGTTCTGTAAGGCTGATCTTTGAAATTTTCCTGCTTCATGTCCAAAAGTGTTCTGTGTTGGATGTCATCAGTCAGCTCTTGCAGATAGTGCTACATGACCCCTGTCAAGTCTCTAATAAAGTCCTGTGAAACAATTTTACTGAGTGTTGGGATGTTCCTGCTGACTTGCAAATAGGTCCTCTTTCTGTGACAAGAGACAAGTGGCTAATTGGATTTGTTTCTGAATGCCACGAGGGTCACTGGAAATGGGGACTGCAATAAGTAATAAATAAATAAATAAGTGCTCCTGACGTTTCATGGGGGGAAGAGTTTCTTCTGAAGTTCTGTTCACATCGTGTGATCTAATAGATGAGTTAACTTACAACTTTAAGTTTCATAGCTGATTATTCAAGTCACTGCTCTGTGGTCCAGGGAATCTGTACTGCAGGGTGTGAGATCGAGACCAGTAACTAATAATTTAGTCAAGATCTGGGGGAGATGAGATCTCACTGCATGGATTAAACAATTCCAGTAATCTTCCTAAATATTAACTACCACTTTGGTTTTCTAAGGTCTGTTGAAAATGGCAGGTGTTTGGATCATGCTTATGTGTTACCGAGGAAGTTTCTCTTCCTTTGCTGTTAAAGCCAGGAAATATTTTCTGCGATTCAGTAAATGTTTCTTTTAATTTATTTTGCATATTCCCAATTAATCTTTAAAGACAAACTTTTCCCAACCTTGATGAGTGATTCAATGGGATATGTGGAGAGTGTGCAGTATTTTTAAAGGATAGTTTTCTATGTGGCACTTCAGTAGGAAGTGTGCTAACAAATGTTTGTAATATATATGTTTGAAGTCAGCACGGTGTATTTGCTGTAGATGTCATTTAGTGAAATAAGGTTTCATTGTGTGCAAAATTAAAATGTTTTTTTAATCACTGAAAAATTTTAAATGTGGAAGTCAAAGGAAGAAGGAGGTTTTCCTCTTTCAGTCCTGCTGCATTGTGCATCTGGCAGTTAGTAACCAACCTGCGTGTCAGCACTCCTGCTGGATAACAATCTTCCAGGCTGGTGCTGCCCGTACCCTGAAGCGCAGCTGCTCGTCCCAAGGGAGGGCAGGATGCAGGCAGAGCTGCTTCTCTATTCTCTACTCACTAATTGATCTCTGGCTTGGTGACTTCCAGCAAGGTCACAGGATTGGCAGCTACAAAAACAATGTTCTATGGAAAATTTAAAGGGGAAGAGGAGAAGTGCCTGGCATGGGATGGGTTGGGTTTCTTGTTTGTTTGCTTGCTTTTTTGTTTGTTTGCTTTTTGGTTTTTTCTTTTAAAAAATTCATATTTTTATTTGATTACTCTTCTGTTTTGCTTCTGCAGAAGTCTAAAACTTGGAAATGACTGATATCAGAAGTTTGTCCACGGTGACCTGTTCCTTCAGTTAGTGAGTAATGCCCTATCCTGAAAATTGTTCTCTCTCTTTGTAATTCTTCTTCTGTCTCTACCGTAACAGGGCATCAGCATTCTAATCATAGTGCAGATCCTGTAAAGGCAAAATGATTTCTAAGGGACTGTAGTGTGATCTCCTCCAATTTCTTTCTTTGCAGAAGACTTGTCGTGCTGGTCTTGAAAGGCATCTATCCATGTGTGGTTTTTGCAAAAGGGCTTGAATTCGTGTACGCTGCTTTCTCAGAACTGATGCTCTGATGAATTCAGGCACTTTATTATTTGAGAGGTGATGGAAATTTGGGGTTAAAAAAACCAAACAACAAACCAACCTAAACTGTCAGTCTCCAAATGCCATGGTCTGTGCTGCTCATTAAACACTGTGCAAGTAGCACTGGCTGTCTTTGTCATTGTTGCAGTAATGCCCTTTTTATACAGCTCTGAATGGCGCGGCTGGGCTCAGCAGGTAGCGCTGCCATGAGCACAGCCCCTGGGCCAGGGCCACACGCTGCCTGTCCTGCTGTTCTCCTGCAGCCATTCGAAGGATATTTACATGTGGTTTTTTAAAGCTGTGTAGCATGCTGCATGTGTCTAGTCTAGCAAAAGCATGTGAGAACTGCAAATAAGAAGATGCATTAGCGAAGCTTAAGGGCTTAAATACTTGAAAAGCAGAAGAGTCTACAGGGTTTGAATAAAGGAAATGGTCCAAACTGCCCGAACGCAAGGCTGGGACTCTGGGGGCAGGATCAAGCTGTACTCCATTGTAAGGGGTTTCATGGATGGTGTGGCAGAGACTGGAGAAGGGGTTTGGTTGACCTGGTAAGACGTGTGATCTAAAAATACAGGGATCATCCCAAAATTTTGTGAAGATGCTGATCTGTTAGAGGAAAAAGCTGGAGCAACTGACAAAGAAAGATTGACAGATGGCCAGTTTTTCTGGATCTGTGAATGGATGCAGAGGTCAATGCTGTTGTCATAGTTACTTAAGAACCTGGATACCCTGATGCTAAGAGCCGTAAAAATAGTTAATAAACATTATAAAACATTTGCTTCCTATGAAATCCTGCCTGCAAATTTCTGGTTTTACCTGAACTTTTCCAAAAGAAGGATTTTCAGGAATTTGGCAAATCCCAGGATTGTCACATTAAGTTTACACATTCATATTTTTCCAGGCTTCATGCCCAATAATGAAGCAAAAGAGAAAGGTGCACTTTCCAACTAGCTCATGCTGCATTTGAGGCACCAGATATGCAATATGCAATTCTAGAACTAGACACATTTCAGGAAATAGAGGAGTTCACATGTGGAATGGGAAACTCACATGTAAATAAGTCTAGGAACAATAGAGGGATACCAGTTATGGTAACTCCTCACCTATGCTGAAATAAGATGCAAATGGAGATTTCACAATTCTAGCAGCTGTGACTTAGGTTTGGAAAATATTAATGTAAAGGCCGAAAAAAAATATTCTAAGCAACAGTTCTGAATTAATGGAAGTTTGGTAGATAGTGTCTTCAGTCTCTGAAGTAACTACTTCTGTTTAGAATTTGTAAATTACGTCAAGTAGTTGGTTTCTCTTTCACAAATGCAGTTACTGCTTGCTCTGATTTTAACCCGTATTTGTTTCTTCGTGGAAAGTTAACAAATCTGCAGTAGCAGTAATAATTATTCTACATCTTGAAAGTTACCACTACTGAAACATCTTGGTGTATTTATGCTTATTCTCTGTCTTCATTTAGAGTGTCAGAAGAGGCCCACAATATTTGGATAAATGCATACTTTGTAAATAGAGCACTGCTCTTTGATGAAGTGCAGCTGCTGTACATAGAGCCGGCTTGGCTAACCTGGAAATTGGTTAAACGGATTTCAGTTAGTTGAAGTTTTATTAAATGGTTTATACTGAGGTGATATTTAATTTTGTCAGTGTTTCTAGATTAGATTTTTCTTGTGTGGACAAAACAAACAGTTATTATTAGGTGAAATTGTAATTATTTGGAGGTTTGTGATATTTAATTCTGAGGTTAAATGCCTGTGGTTTATAAACTCTGTCCTGAACTTCAACTCGTACAGTCTGTTCAAAGTTTCCTGTCAGAAAAAAACCAGCTGATAAAAGTTACTTGTCCTTAAAGAGCCTTTTTCCTAATCCTGCTTTACTAACTATTGTATAATTGGAAGCATTCTGGCTTGGAGCGTGTCAGCAGTGACATTCTGCCACTTTGTGTGTAACTTACTCTGGCGTTATGGAGTTGGGGAACTTGGGTAGAGAGGAGTAAAGGCTTGGACCAATTCGTAGGGAGCAGGAAGAGTCCATACGTCCAAGGTTAGGTGTAAACTTAGCTCCCAGTGCTTGGCTCAGCCCGTCTGTGGAAGTCCCCTTTTGTCAGTTCCCTTTAATTTATTTATAGATCAGATGAATAGTTATTGCTGTATGTATTTATAAGGTTCATAATGTCATGCAGGTTCTAAAAAGGCCGTGAAAGAAGAAGTGGAGAGCATAGATGCAGTTTGTGAAGGGCCCCTTGTGTTGGCTTAGATGATTTTTCTTGTGGCTAGACCGTGCAGTTTGCTCCTGTGTGGGGCAAAGCTGATGAAGTCTTGGGGCTGCCCCTCCCGTGGGCTGGAAGGTTGTGGCCACAGAATCAGAGCTGTTGCAGCATCTTTAAGGAATAAAATACGGAGCTTCCTCAGAGGTGGAATGATAAGCAAGCTCTTATGCAGTAGACATTCAGAAGTGTCTGTTTGTAGAATATTGTTTATTCATGTTGAGAACCAAATCGCAGTGAGTAACATATTCTATGTTTATAGTTGCTCTCAATAAGGAATAGTAATTGAATTACCAGCTAAAGACTGAAAGATTAGACACGATGTCTTTGAAAGAGGGGTGTAGAAGCAAGGCTAATTTGATTATTGCAGCAAATCCATTTTCTGTTCATTGTGGGCTGAAGCAAATAGTGTGATGGTTCAGAACTCCTTATGCTCTTTCTGTGACAAAGATAGCTGGCAGTGTTTGATGTTTTAACTCTTGTGTGAGACATGATACCACAGAGAGGAAACAGAAAATGAATGTGTTAAATTGTCACAAACCCCTGAGCTAATGAATTGATTTGGTACTGTTTATTGTACTAGAACTCACAGTGATTAATTGAATAAATGTTTAAGTTTGAGTCTTTAATTTGTCTATAAATATGTATAGTAATTAATGAGGAGGCAAGAAATAATCTTGAGAGTCACCTTGGGCAGAGGATAAGCATGCAGGATGCGTTCTTGGGAAGCAGCAGTGTAATTATGGTATCTAACCTCTGCCACCAAGTGGCAGTTGGATTTCACTGCCTACCCTGGCCCCAGAGGAGGAGGTCTGGCTGCAGAGCCACCACCATCACCACCACCACTGTCACCCATCCAAGGGAAGGGCATTGTGCCTAAGGGAAAGACACAAGCACAAATATTTTTAATGCAAAATTAGACCCGGAGTTTCAGAAGTTTTCCCAGCACAAAACCAACATCAGCTGCTTGTGTGACTCTGAAGTTGACAGTGCTGTTTTCTGCTGTGTATTATATCTGTATATAATATCTATACAGGATTCCATTCCATTAAACTGGAGTGAACCTGTTGTAGAGCACGTTCATGTCTTATCCTGGATGAGGAAATACTATTGCACAGTGCTGCTTCTTTCCACCAGAATTCCTGTATGCCCTCTGTTCCATACATAATTCAGGTGCAATACATAATTAAAGGACTATAAAGCCACACTTACTTTCATATATTTAAATTACTTGGCGAGCCAGAGATGGCGTTTGCCTTCTCTGTGCTTTTGCTTTGCCTTTTTCTGTAGTTTGTTGAAACAGTGGGGACCACAGCCTGGTCAGTTGGAAGCTACTGAGAACCACTAGCAAAATGTTAACCAGTACTGATTGTCAGGATTAGTATTATAATACTAAAAAGTATGTCTGTATAATAAAGTCTAATTAATTTGCAGTTGAAGCTGGAAGATATCAGTATGTTCTGTAGATATTCACTTCCCCTTGTTAGCAATGTCTTTGTAAATTGTAGCCTTTTCAAAGGAAAAAAACCCTACCTTGTTTTCCTCTTGAAGCATAGGGATCTCACAGCAACAGTAAGAAACCCCTGCACTGAATTGCCCAGGCTGTCACACTTCCTGGGAGTAGTATCTGTGTGGTATAACATCTATGTACCCATACAGGTCTGCAGCAAAGACTGGCTTACACATGGAATGAGAAGGAAAAAAAAATAATTAGTCTTACATCTTGAACTTTCTCACTGTTCCATTCTGTTCTGGATTTCTTTTCTTTAGAGCAATAGTTAGTGACTGGATCATGTGATGGTATTTCCAGTACTTCGAGTGCCATAAATGAGCTCTACATAGAAAGCATTTCTTAGATGCGCTGGGCCTTTTTGTTTCAAAGATTGGACATGTAACATTTTATATATTTAATTGCCATCAAGCAGAGTGTTTGGATACAGCTATTTAGAGCGACTGTCTGTGCTGTTGCAACCCACTCAGGGCCCAGAGGGAGACCGAGGAACAGAAAGAAGTCTCAGATTTCTTTGAGCAATTCAGGATTGCCAAATACTTTGGTTTGTTATGGCTGCTGGGCTATGGGATGGAGGAGTATTGGGAAGATCTGTTCAGAGAACGTTGTGTTTAAAAAGATCTGGTTAGGGAGTCAGGGAAGTATTCAGGAAATTGCTGCTTCTCTCTGCTCTGAGCACCAGAACTGTGAAGAAAACATAGCTTATGTTGAACATGAGGTAGAAATCAGTGTCTGAAAGATCCTTCAAAACCAGAATTGAAAACTGACATCCTTTTACAGCTCATGGCAGAAAAAGCCTCCTCTTTAGTTGAACAAGTGAACATTTACAGCAATTTTAATAAAGGACCTCCTGGCAAAAAGACTGAATTGTAACATCTCCAAATCTTCTTTTTATAGATAAAGCAGTGTGTCCCTTGGAATCCATACTGCTCAGTGAAACCTTGCTGATGTGCTTTGTGATGGGGATACATAGTCTTTGATAGTCCACATTAAGCCTTTTCCATTATATGTTGATAATATTTAGTTCCTTCCACTTACGGGTTGTTTTCTATTCCATACTTTCTATTATTTATTTTTTTCCCCTTGTGGGTGGAAACAAGCAACCAAAAACATTACTCTGTCACTTGACACTTCTCAGGAGCTCCACGACTTGGAATTTGTGTGAATACTCCTGTAAAGAGTCTCATGGGGCTGGTGCTCAGCCCGCTCTCCTACTGCAGGCACTGGCCTGCCCAGCTCCTTGGTGGTGGGGACAACCAGCCCATCCTTGGGGACCTTCTGTCTCTGAGGTCAAGTACCTGAGCTTATCCCAACCTGTAGTAATTGAGGCATTTTCTGACAGGTCATTGCAAACAGGATTTCACAGCGTGATAATCTCCAGCAGAGGGACTCTCACTATTCTTTTTTTCTTCTTTTTCACACTTTGCTTATGACACCTCCATCTGTTTGCTGTTCTGTGCTTGTGTCGTTGCTGTGAAAAAAAAATATGCAGCCACATCTTTTCTTATCTCTAAAGGCAGAACAGATGATATAAAAGTTCCCTCAAAGCTTGCATGATCTAGTGTTTTTAACTCATTGGGCAGATGTTATTCAGGACTTACTCCCTCTCTCCATAGTTTTTCTGACCTTTGGCAGTCTCCTGATCATCACAATCTGCTGCAATGTGGAAGGACTGAGCTTTCTAGCAGCATGCTCTCTGTGGGCCTGAACCAAAGCTTGCTGTAATTGCTGGCTGTCTTTAATTACTTCACTGGGCTTTGAGTCAGATGGTAAGTGTAGAAGACACATAGTCACTAGCAGTCTCTCTGCCTTCTGCTGGCACTTTGACTTCTACCTGTTGTCCCATGAATACCTCAACATTTCTTTGTTATTTTTCTTTTAATCTTCCCATTTTAGTATCTCTGCTTTATGTTCCACAAGCAAAAGCTGCGAAAACCTCTTTGATGTGATTTTCTGTGCACCCCAACCCTTTCCCTTGCTCTCCACAGAAATTCTGTCTCTACTGGGCTCCGTGGGGAATGTGAGCACTGGAAATCCTGGCTGGGCTTGGAACTTGGGGAGCTCACTTCTAGGTGCTGAAATTACAGGTTTGTACACTCTGAATGGAAGAACTGGCTTGGCCTCGTCACACACACACACAAATAAATAAGTATCATATCTAACTATATGGAGTCCCAAACCTGCTTTTGACTGGTTTCCTTCATTCCCACTTCTTTCTTGCCTTTTCCTCCTCATTACGGGGAGACCAAATTGTAGCCTTTATCCTGATACTGCATTAGGGAGCTGGGGAAGAAGAGTGCCACGCTTCTGTCATGAATCTTTAGGGACTGAAGCTTGGGGATGACTCAAAGTACTTTGTCTTTTTCCCCCCCCTGTAAACAGGAGCTGCTGTGGTATTGCTTTTCAGACAGGGAAACCACTACTGCCCAGCCTTTGAACTGGGATGAATTCATCTGCTTCTCTGCTCCCTCATTGTATTTCTCCATGAATTGATATTTTTATGTTATGATACCACCATTGTATAATGCAGTAAAAGCCTGGAATTGGGAAAATGTGCTATCTGGCAGGAAAGTGTAAGCCTCCTTTACCTCTGCTTTGGGAACAGTTGTCCTGTAGAGAAACAAGCTGAGTAGCGCTGAGAAAATGGACAGGCTGAGTGCTTCCCTTCTGTCAGCAGGTTATTTTTCTCTTAAGTGTTTGTTTTACATTTTTTACTTTTACTGTTACTTTTCATGTTTGTTTTAAATAAGATCCCTGGCAGATGAAAGGTGCAGTGTTGAGAAACTGAGAGACTGAAGAACGTACAGAAAAAGCCGTTTATCCGTGAATTTGTACTGCCTTTCCCTGTGTCTTGGTTCTTCAGCAGCTGGGACTGATCTTAATGATTCTGCACTGATGGAGAATTTAGAGCGTGTATTCTGTTTTCCAAAGAGGATCCTTAAAGAGTGTGATGTGGATTGCGGACTGTTTTCCTTTTCATGTAGCTGTGTGTAATTGTTCTTGAGCTGCCTTTTACCTAAGCAATTCACATTAGTTTAAGCACTTGCAATTGCTGAGTTAATATTCTTGATCATGTTAACAACATCTGTTTGGGGAGTTATTGCATTTGCAGTTCTGCATGCAAAGCAGAGGGGGACTGCTCTCTTGTGGAACTGCTGATGAGTAATTGGGGAGCAGCAGAAACCTCTCAGCCCTGTGGAAATGCAGCCACAACAGCATACTTGGTCATGTACTCATCTAAGGGAGTCTGGGTGACATGAGTGAAGGGTTTGTGGTGAGGGACGGGCATTTCTGTTATATATGTTAAGTACCCGGTAGTATATCCTCCTCCTCAACACTTTAGTTTGCAAAAATCCTAAGTTTTTCTTGTCATAATTGCTTTTGCGCCTTATTAACTGTGATTCTCTATGCCAGTATGCACAATGACTGTTCTCTGTTGTGCTCAACATTTATCTATGTTTTGGTGTGATTTTCAGGATATGAATGTATTTTCCATGTGATGGTGCTAGAGTGGGCCACAAAGGGGAGGGGTCATTTAGGGCTGAGTCAATATCTCTTTGCATAAATTGCTAGTCCTAAAGCAGGGTGTTCTGGAAAGGCCCAGTGTTAGGAGGGGAGGTGCCACGTTTTCTCTCTGTATTACCTTGAAAGGAGCACATTGCTATAATATTGCTGTAGAGCAGTGTAATTCAGAGCATTATATGAAAAGTGTAATGGTCAGAGGAGACACAATAACAGCTCCATCAAATATTGATAAAGTAGGATTATTAATTTGAGCAGGAGTGTAGGATTAAAGTGTCCCTTGAGTTTCATTCCCCATTTGATGTGAGAGTGCGGTTTTGCGGTCAGAGAGTGGGAAGCTCAGGACAACAGGAATCTTTTCTCATCTCTTCAATGTGTTTGCTTAATGTCCTTGGTGGTTCAGTGGATATATAATACTATTGACCAGAGTTCATAGAATTACGATATGCTCCTATGGTGGCACTGTTGAGAGTGAATTTCACAATGATCTTTCTGTTAGTGTAGCTCAGTCTGATTTGTACTTCCATGAAAAAGAAAAACACCTCTGAACAAGCTGATGATTTGCAGTCCTGGTGCCCTGGAGTCTCGTCCTCCTTCAGAACTACCTGCTTTTGTGAGATGGTGAAAACACTGGGTCAGTACTGGGGAGCAGAGAGCGTATGCCATTGGCCCACTTGGCCCTCTAGTCTGGAGTGGAGGATGATATTTTGCTTTTGATGGTGTGTGTAGTCTTGAACTAAATAAATAGCAAAGCAAGTAGAATGAATTGAATTTTACACAGCCCTTGTTTAAAAAGAGCTTTCAAATGTCTCACATTTGAAAAAGGCACTGCAGGTTAGAAATGAGATTTGCTTTTAGAGCTAAGCCCTGATCTGCATTACTAAAAACAGTTGCGGCCATTAAAATAGAAAGAATTTCCCTTTGAATTTCTTTTGAACAGTATCTGCATTCTCTGCATCACTAGTGTTAGCTTTTCTTTTCCCACCGTTTTGATCCAGCAGAATAGTGCAATAAGGATTTGTTTTCCTCTTTAGGTTCTTCCTGGTTCTAATATTCTATATAGAAGAAGAACTGTTATAATCATACAAGTTCTGTAAATTCATTCTTCCATGCTTATGCACAAAGTGCACATTCTTGGCATCTCTCAGTATGTGTCTGTATGTGCAGCAGCATTTTAAACATTCCCTCTGTGCCCCAAGGCTTTTTTAACTGATAAAACTCTCCAGCCTAAAGCATCTTCTCTTTTTCTTTTTCTTTTTTCCCCCCGCCTTTTGAGTGTTTCCCTTCTCTCTCTAGAGCCATTAGATGTTCTGACTCTGCACTTCAGGAGATCAATATGCTTTTGGTATTTAGAGGCATTATCATTCTGAGGCTGTACGACTAGTATGTATTCATCCTATTAACATCTGCTCAAAATTCCCACCATCCCACCGCAGCTCGCAGAGAATGACCGTTTTGTCCTTGGTCGGGCTCTGTGGCTCGGGTGCCGACACCTGGCTTATTGTCGGACGGATTCCATTTCACTCTTTACTTTGTTTTGACCTTATTTCACCTCCGGAAGCTCAGTTTCAGCTGAAGATGGATGAATGAATCGGGAAGCGTTGTGTCCGTTGCTGCCGTGGCAATTCTTGTGTGGTACTGCCCAAGTAAGTTATTTGGTTCCTGAAGTGTAGGAACCTGTTCTGACCCAACTGTGAGCTTCTATCAGCTCACAAGGATGTGCTCATAATTGAAATACCATTTCGGTAAAGCAATAAAAAAGACAAGAGATCAAGTCCTCTGCCAGGCAGAATCAGCAATTCACTGTCCTTACTGGCTAATTTAATGGAGGATTATGAGCTTTAAAGTCATGGAAAGAGGATGAACTGAGGCTTTGACTTCAGTGTTAACTCCCGCGGATATTTGGTGGTGGGAATACCAAGTGTCTGCTTTATAATTTTAACAGAAATTGCCAATAGGGTTAAGGTACTGAGGGGAAATAAACAAGACAGTTGGAGTTAAGTATGTATCAGTGTTGAAGTTAACAGCCAGGAGCGGATTCACTATTTTAAAATCATGTCTAAAGGACATAACCTCTTACTGACTGGGAAGAAACTGTTTCAACGTAAAACAACAGTGTGTTGACATTCCTGGCTTTCTCCAGTGCATTTTGGTTGCTTTTGTTTTCTCATTCATGTACTCCAGAGAGTTGGTTGCTGTAGTAAGAGTTGCTGGATCATTCACATTAATGTGCACTCTTCAAGGCTACTTAGGGTTAGCTTTGACTGACAAAGAAAAATTCAAAGTAATCGTTAGCTCATTCAGGATTTCAGGGAAATGGCTGTATGATTCCCCAAGTTCTAAGAGGAAACGTTACAACAGCCCATACAGTTGATGGTATTGGAGGTTGACCTTTTACCTTTCTAAGTGCAATGAAGCTGTGAAATCTCAGAAATACTGGCTGCTGGATGGTGATTAATCTCCATGTTACATTGTCTGACCTGGATCAAAGGAAATGCAGAAGCAAAGGGAACCTGTGTTTCAACACGCTTTACAGAGAAGTAGAAATGGAATTGAAGACATTTTCATTTAGTCTTGTGTAGTACAAGTGACAGTGATTTGTCATTTTCTCAGAACACACACATCTAAAGAGATTTTCTCCTTGCTTCTTGGATTCCATTTTTCTCCAGAGTGGTTGCCCTGCTGACCTTCTGGGAAGTGAGACTAGCAGAATTATGCAAAGTCCCTTGGTTCGGAGTCATGCATTAAAAAGGCTTTAGGATCAAATGGAGTTTAAATCTTCAGTCAAATGTATATATATTTTTAAAGCATTGATAGCCCCTCATGAAACACCTGCGACTCACTGAACGTACAAGTTAGCAAAGATCCAGAGATAGGTCCATACACCATGGATTGAAATTAAATTTCTGCAACAGTCCTAGTATTACAGGAAGCTCAGCCAGCCATACTTTGGCTTCCCTGCTGGTCATGCATTCAGGAAAGGAAATTTCCCTGAAGTCATGTCCTGTAATAAAAAGAGGAGAACCTAAAGCTGAGTTGGAGCAGAAAGTTTCATCATTTGCCCAGATAGTATAGTGAGGCTGGCATATGCAGTCACTTCCTAAGCAAATGAGAATTAAATTGTCAGGTTTGTGACTTCTGTCTCATAAAGCATTCAAGCATAATAAATGATGCTGACAAACTGGCCTTGGCGTGGAAAACTTCTTTCAAAATGCAAGATATGGCTTCTTAGTGGTATAGACATAGGGGTGACTTAGCTGCAATGGGGTTTCTTAGGGACAAAATGGATAGTGTTCCAATAAGCTGTCAATTACCGTGTTTCTTTCCAGAAATGATACCTCTAATTGGTGAATGGCAAGGCTGGATTGGCATTAGACATCCAATTTAAAGTATTAGAACTCTTTCTGTGTTTCTTCCCATAGTTCTTAGGAAGTTTCTACATCCATCTGCTTGAATATTTTGTGTACAACCTCCTAAGAAGCCTTATATGTCTCCCATCAGACAGACAGGCTTTGATGCTTATTCTTGCTCTTGCTGAAACAATTATAATCCTGATGAAGCTACCATTGTGCTTTTCCCAGAATTAACCGGTGCTCTATTCCTGTGATTATGTTCAGCAGTAGGTTGGAAAAGAGAAGAACAGTTCTCCCTGTGTAAGTTTTTGAGTGCTCCTGTGAATATGGGCTCTTCTGCTTCAGACTTTGCTGCTGCTGCTTCCCCTTCCTGCACCCGAGGCCTTTGGCAGTGCAGTCACAAGACTGATTGTTCTTGAATCCCAGCATAAGTGGCAGAAGCCCTTGGCTTAAAAACGTTCCATATAGTGAAGTGCACAGTCAAACACTTAGACCTGCACCATTCCCCCTCGTTGGGTGTGTTGTCCTCACAGCTGACAGTGCACAGCCAGGCTCGGGTGTTGCATCTTCTCTTCCTCGTTGTAGCAAGAAAGTCACGTTGACCTTGTGCAATGTGATGTCTTGTGTATGTGAAAGTCGATGATGTCAGAGTTGGATTTCTTGATTATAAATCAAGATTATAGACTGCATTTTAATTCAGCATCCTATAAAAGCTTTATTTTTCTTTTTTTTTCAGGGGCCGTCAAGCAGATTTTGTTTCAGACATATTGATGAACTCCGGTGCACATTCAGCACACCAGTTAGCAGAGCTACACTTGTGCTGCAGATCAATATCACCTTTTGCAGAAGCTCAGCAGGAGCTTGGTTTGCCTGCTGTTGCAAGACATGAAGTAGAAAATGTGCATCAACCACGCTCCCTAAGAGAAGTGGAATAAACTAGAGCTTCCCTCAGGGCAGAGAGAAGTGCTGAAGCCCTCAAAACCTCCGCCTACCCTCGTCCCTGGTCCCATTATGCAGTTAGAAGCAAATGAGGATATTTTTCAGAAGAAGAGGTGAGGGATTAGGCCTGATTTAAGTCTGCAAGGATCATAGAATTAAGGTGGGCATATCTTTTGAGTATATTTTTTTACCATGTCTTTGAAATAAAATCTGATTTAGGATTACTGATATCTTAAGACCTGTAACTGGTTACTCATAAACCTTCACTATTCTGAAGGTGGGAAAATGCTTAATATATTGGTACAGTTCACTTGTATTTATCATAACTGATACTGAGCTGTCTCTGGCAGAGAATGTATATAGCATCTAATTATGTAGGTCTCTATCCCTTCATTTTAGGTTGCAGTAATGCAGCAGTCCTAATAGCGAATTAGAGCATTAACTAAATGTGGGATTGTCTCTTGGCTCAAATTGTTCTGATCTGACATAAGTGCTGCCAAAGTAGTAGAAATGTAGTTGGTAATTATAAAATCCTTTCTATGCCAGAAGGAAACAGTCAGGAGTACAAGTATATATGCTTGTCAGGTTAAATTTGCTGACTTTCATGGTATTTTATTTTCCTAAAGAGGGGTCTACACGTAGAGAGCAGGTGTGGAAGAATTTTTGCCAGTGCAGTGACAAGTTAATTATTTAAATCCTAATTATGAAACAAATTCAGTGTTATTGACACTGGGATGAAGCACCATTTGAAGACCATGAGAACAAGCTTGAATGCTGTTAACAGTTACATAAAGATCTGTATTTATCATTCTTAAAGGTCTGTTAAGGAATCTGACAAATGGATGGCGATGGAAACACCAGGATTTAGCATCTCAGCAAAATGAAGTGTGTGCCCATCTGCCAGTGTGTGCTGCAGGGATCCTGCCAAGGCTGCCCGACCCTCTTACCCGAGTGACAGCAGAGCCAGCAACTTCTGCACACCCAGTTTAGGTAAGGCCATTATTCTGGGGCATCTGTGAAGAAGAAACAATTGACTCACATGGGGAGTTCAGGCTGTAGAATATTCTTAGAGCAGAAGCTAACTTCAGAGATGTTTGCTGCTCCTGTGTCGCAGTCTGGTTACACTGATATTGATGAGACATGGCCTAGGAAGTCCGGAGTGTGCAAACCTGAGACACTGAAAGTAGCTGGGCAATATCCCCAGCTGGTGAGTCAGGAAATTGAACATGGGTCTATTTCTGTCCAGTTCTTCCTTCTCCTCACAGTGGCAGGTGTGTCTGTTTAGTTACCTGGAGCGGATTTGGAGGTGGTAACGGTACTTCTAGAACCCAGTGTTCATTAAGGTGCAAGTGCACAAAAGCAAGACCCGCGTCTTCGGGTTCTTGGAGAATATTACTCATTCCCCAGGATTTGGCACATCCTTGGGCTGCATCCATTTTACTTCCTGCCACCTACTGTGTAAGAATGTCCATTTTTTTCCTGGAGGCCTCATTACAGAGCAGACTGTGCAGGGAGACTGTGAGAGGCAACCGAGATTACATCTGGAAGGAAAATGAGGCAGAGCTCGCTGATTTATACAGCATTCACAGGCGTCAGTTCTGTGGCAGAGATAGATATCATATACAGCACTTTGAGGCTAGGCTCTGCCTCAGAAAACACAGCTCACATGGTGCAGCTGGATGTGTTTGTTTTTCAGGTCCAGCTGGGGACTCTTCCAAAATTCCCTTTTCCCCACCCCCAGTGTTTGGCTTCACAGAGCGCAAACTTTTGCACGAGAAGGTTCCTTTCACCCAGGCTCTGCTGCGAGGCACAGCTCCCTTGCTCTGGCTCCCATTGTAGGTTCCTTTGGGTCTGGCTGAGCATTTAGCCTTTCCCTCGAAGGCTGCTGGGCGCCGGGGCACCAGCATGGCTCCAGGGTAATGCAGACATTTGCAACAAACATATGATAGTTTAGAGAACTTGCCTTTCAGAGCTGTTTTCAGGCTGTAGATCCGCGAGCTGCCCAGCACTGCCCTCCAGTGGCCCGGGAGCCTCCCTCTGAGCAGGATAGTCGTGGTGAAAAGGGATATTTACACGTTGGATCATTTTGATGAAAACAGCAGCAAAAACTCTCAATAGTCAACACATCTTCAAAACGCTCTTAGATCCAGGCAATGTATTGGACACCTCCTTCTTCCTGCTATAACATTTTACTACAGAAAAACTTGCCTGAGACCTCTTTTTACACCATGAACTGTTTCCTGTGGCTGATCAACGTTCTCATCTTCCCAGCTGCCAAAGGAGGCCCCTCGGAAGGATTCACCTCCACCGATGCAGCTGTAAGCAGTGGAAGAGGATCAAAGGGGCTTAAAGTTGACCTGCAGCTCTCCAGCAGGGTTTTGTGTAGATCAAAGGGTGCAGGCATGGTCAGAGCCCAACTTCTGTAACTTTCTTTAGAGATAATTTGGCAGAAGTACAGCCCTGTCTTTACTAGGGCCTAGTCTGCCTCTGTAGTGAATGAGCTCATACGTTGGAGAGGAAGCTCTAGGTGCTGTGTGTGTATTGGGTGTCCTTCTTGCAGTTCTTACAATTTGCTCTTTTTTTTTGGAATGAGGCTTGTAATGAAGATCTATGCACAAGCAGCCAATTTTGCAAGGCAGAATAGGTGATTTCGGGCAAGTCTGCTTCAATTTTGTCCCTTCAAATGCTTACATTAGACCTATATCCTTCATACAAATACGGGAGTCCTCCAGGAAATCGGTGGTGATACTGATTAGAACAAGTTCTGGTTAAGATGTCATTTCTCTGCAGAAGTGATATTCTTTGAAGAGGACCTAGTGCTGTCCCAGTTTCTCAGTTAAGGCAGGATTTCACTGAGGTGTTGTTGGCTGTTGGTAGCTGGATGACTGACATAAGTCATGTGTTTGAGCCCTGTCCCTGGTGCACGGCAGGAGGCAGAGTCTGTTGCCACAGGATGGCGCCCGATGGCCGGGAGTTCAGGGCTGCGTCTGCGGGAAGGGTCAGACCCCAAACCTGTGCATTTGGGATATGTATGCTACTTCCAGTCCTAAACCACAGAGGTATTTCCTATCAAATTCTCAGAAATAGATGGTCATTCTGTGCCGGTCCTACTGGAGCGCCAACCCTCTCTTTCATCAATGTTACAGTTTTATCTGAAATTGATTGTTTTTCTCCAGGAAAGTGAGATGGGGTCAGAACTCTGACCGACATTGCTCTGTTGAGTCACTGCATGGCAAGAAAAAGCCAGCTTTCTGCTGTTTCTTGTCATGCTGGTTGTTTGATTGCCATGACCTAGGACTGACCAGTGCCACACGCTCAATGCTCTTATCAGGCAGCGTGATTTACGTACCAGCAGTGCTGATTAGCAATGAAACTAAAACTTACTGCATCTAAAAAGTGCAATTGGAATGTCTTGCGGCTGGAAATTTTGTGTGATTTTGGCCAAGTTTTGATAGCAACTTTAAAGTTTTGACTCCCAAACAAAACTGTTCCATGGCTCTTGTGCTGTGTGGGTGCTGCAGTTGGTGTGACAGTGTTGTGTGTGCAGCCTGTCCCTGTCCTGCAGCGCTTCAGGATGGGACTGGGTGCGTTCCTCTGGCAGCGCAGGTGACATCACGAATTTCTTAATTCCTGTTTTCACACAGTGGCCTTTGCTTGAGTTTGTGCAGTGCAGAAGGGACATCTAGTGGCCACATGGAAAAGTTGTGACAAAGCGTGTTAAAGACAGTAACTTTGGTTGTTACAGGAAACAGCAAATTTCAAGTTAGAGATTGGATCCTGGGAACCCTCAGTTATTTACATCATCAAACTGTATTAGAGTGTTTAAGTTTACAGAATTGGCCTGTGAGACCATAGGCTTGAAATTCCAAAAAGCTTTTTAAAAATATAGCTGGCACTTTTCAGCAGTGATTGAAAGCAGAAGAGTGTGCTGAAGCAGTCATTTTTTGGACACTGTTTTTGAGTGGAACTGGAAGTTTGTTTCTTAACTAGCTCAACTTCCCAAGTTCTAAATCTGCAGCCACTGTTCGTATGGGCTCCTTTGTTTATGGTTGTGCCTAATAACCCTGAGAGGATGAAGCTGGAGAAAAAAATCAGAAGATTTTGATGCTGTTAGCTTGCATTGCTCAATTCAGAAAAGTAGATTTGTATTCTGTGGGGGGTTCCAGAGCTGTAAGGAGGGAAGGTGAGGCTCTCTCCTCTGAGGCAGGTACGATATGTGCACATGAGAGGAGACAGGAATGCCTTTATTCTTCCCAGCTTCTCTCTGTGATAATGGCCATGATATCACACATCTAAGCTCTTAGTATCCAGTCTGTAATATTAAGATTATTTTAAGGTCTGTGTGAGGAAAGATTGTGAAACTCACGCAAGCATACATTGTTCTTTGAATGGAAAGTGCAGCCTGTTTTTCTCAGGTACTTTGCTGTGCAGTTCATTCTGAACTGTGTGTAGAAAAATGTATAGGGATGTTTTGTGAAAAGCACACAAAAAAGGTATAGAATAAGAGGGCAGAAAGGCTCTGCTGAGTACCCCAGACCTACTCACTCCTTTTCTCTTAATCCATCTTGCCTACTGCTGCCCCATTTTCGTGGCATGCGTTTCCGGCTTGCGAAGTTTCCTGCCTCCTGGCTGAGAATAGAAGCCTCGCTGTTACGCTGTCCTTAAGTCTCCTGTAATGAGTGTTACACAGACGAAAGCAGCTGTGTCCTTTGGCTCTAGTTTTAATACTATGTTAAAGAGCAGATTATAGTGACGTTGGACTGCAGCGATGCGGAGGTAGCACAAACCGTGGCCGGTTTGGGGAAGGCTTTAGCAAGGATGACTAAGGACTTGGAGCTTAATGCTTTAGATAACAAATCCACCCAATTGTGCTCCTTCTTTGGCAATGTAGTCAAGCCTAACAAATCAGGGCCTTCGCAGAGTTGAATTAGGGTCCTTTAATTGGACTAAGCTGGTTAATACCCGCGTTGCCTTTCGTATGCCCAAGGGTCTGGCACAGAAATGGTCTGCCATTTATGCTGGCAAAATCTCATAAAATTGCAACCACGAATGTTGAAAAAATTAAACTCTAATATCCTCACAGGTAGACACTGGATTAAGGTATTATGGTTATTATAAGGAAGTTGGATGTCTTGACTTTTGCAGGCTTTGTTACCGTGGGGTTTGAGTGACACTAAATGAGCCTTCAGTCCCAGCAGACCACTTGGGTACGCCAGCAGTTAATTGTGGTCAGAGAGAACAAATGAGCACTTTTTTCAAGAGGATCATCCCTCGTAACCTGCTCCAGCCCCAGAACTCACAATATCTGTGTCCTGGCAGCAGATCAGGCATGAGAGTCACTGCTCTCTGTGGAAGATTTTGGCTGAGAACCGTATAATGCTGCCATTTCTCAGGGTGCTGGAGTCCAAACCTTTGGGAAGGTACCACTCATAGCATTCCTGCCTGTGCAATATTACTGACATACTGACTGCATTAGCAGTGCAGTTTGAACCCAGCAACATTAGCTTGACAGAAAGACCAAATGAAGACTCCAGAGTAAAACTCAGTCACTCATTTGAGACATTGTCTCAAATGTACCGAGACACCAAGAACGTTCCTCTCTGGAGCTTCTTCATTGTTCAGCCCCTGCTAAACTGTTTTGCTCTGAGTCTGGCTCGTGTGTAGTAAGTCTTTTGTGGCTGATGGCTCTGTCAGGGGTGTGAGGTGCCACAGGCCACACAGCACAGCAGCAGCAGAGCTACACGAGACCTAAGCCTCTGTGGGAGGACCTTCACCTCCTTATATGTGGGGATTTGTTACACTAATTCTGTTTTATGAAAGCTGGGCATGTCCTTCAGACAGACATATGAGCCATAAATTACTATGGGTAGATTTATTCCCCAAGTGCTGTAAAATATTGCACTTCTCAACTTACAGAAGTGGCTGTATTCAGTCGAGGAAGAACGGTGGTTTCTTGCAGTGTTAATTATGGATTCGTATGCATTTGTTTT